GGTGGGCCAGGCAGCCGTGCCGGGGTGAAGATCTGAGGTATCTTCTGAGCTCTGGGGACTTGGAAATGCTTTTCATTAGCTCCCTGCCATAGGATTGTCCATTGACAGGGCTGCTGGGGAGAGGATCCTCCAACTTCTGCAGGTGCTGAGGAGCTGGGCTGACAGGCCTGCTCTGAAGGCATCTGTGGTATAAAAAACGCCCTCCTCCTCTTCTGCTGCTTTGCAAGAGGGATAGCGGGGACTTTTTCCTGAGAAGGCTGAAGATCTGGAGTAGCAGGAGTTAGGTATGTGCAAGAGTGAGGCTGTGTTAATAAAGCAAATGAGAACGGGAAGTGTCCTCCTCCCTGGGACCCAGCTGCCATTTCTTGCTCCTCAGTGGTCCGTGCAGAGGCGGGAGGCAGGAGGGGTCTGATCAAAGCTTCACGATTCTTCTTTCTTGACAGTGGCTGTTGATGCTCAGTAAGAGTTTAGTTTACCATACTATTTGTCACAATGTTGACTGAGCCCATGAATATTTTTACAAATTTTGCTTACAAAAAAGTAATAAGAATAAAGGCATATTTTACAATTAATATATTTGATGGGAAGCAGTCTCTTGGAAAGCTTCTGCGATATAGTCCAATATCCTATTAACTGTTTTCATTCTGTACTGTAATATTGGTGAGTCTTTCTCCCTGGGTTAGGGAATAGTTGTCCTAAACACTTCAACGTATAGAGAGTTTTATATAATATGAATTTAGCCTTGTTTTTTCAAGATACTTGCTTCTCTAGTGGGATTCATTTATGGAGATCATTGTAATTGCTTTATTATGTTGCTAATATAAGAACAGTGAGTAAATTCCCAAAAGAACTTGATTTCCTTTAGTGAGGAAAATATTGGTGTGCCCTGTAGCTCTGATTCATACCGCTATTGTAAAGTCAGCCAGCTGTGAGATGTATGTGGAGGCAGTGGATGATAAATGTGTTCTAATAATCCAGTATACAGAGTGTTTCCATAAAAATTCTTCAGTAGTATCCAAGGACATTAAACAGTCCATCAATAAAATCCTTCTTTAAATGATTTTGAATCAGGCAAAAGCTGTTTCAATGCACAGTCGTACAGGCTATCTCAAGTTTTCCCCATGGTAGTTCCAGAATCTGTTTTTAGCGTATGATTATGATACTGTCGAGAACGTTGCTTCCGATAAAAATTCAGACTGATTTGCAGTATTCATAGAATCAGAGAATGGTTTGGGTTGGAAGGGACCTTTAAAGGCCATCTAGCCCACCCCCAGCCCTGCAGTGAGCGGGGACATCTTCAACTGGATCAGGTTGCTCAGAGCCCCATCCAACCTGACTTTGAATGTTTCCAGGGATGGGACATCTACCACCTCTCTGGGCAACCTGTGCCAGTGCCTCACCACCCTCATTGTGAAAAAATTCTTCCTTATATCTAATCTAAATCTACCCTCTTTTAGTTTAAAACCATTACCACTTGTCCTGTTGCAACAGGCCCTGCTAAAAACTTTGTCCTCTTCTTTCTTATAAGCCCCCTTCAGGTACTGGCAGGCTGCTGTAAGGTTTCCCCACAGCCTTCTCTTCTCCAGGCTGACCAGCCCCAGCTCTCCCAGCCTTTCCTCTCAGCCGAGGGGTTCCAGCCCTCGGATCATTGCTGGGGCCTCCTCTGGCCCTGCTCCAACAGCTCCAGGTCTGTCCTGTGCTGAGGGCTCCAGAGCTGGATGCAGGACTCCAGGTGGGCTCTCACCAGAGTGGAGCAGAGGGGCAGAATCCCCTCCCTCGCCCTGTGGCCATCCTGCTGGGAATGCAGCCCAGGGTATGGTTGGCCTGCTGTGCTACCAGTACACACTGCCAGCTCATGTCCAGCTTTTCATACATCAGTACCCCCAAGTCCCTCTCAGCAGGGCTGCTCTCAATCCCTTCATCCCCCAGTCTGCACCAATACCGGGGGTTGCCATGATGCAGGTGCAGGACCCTGCACTTGGCTTTGTTGAACCTCATGAGATTCACACAGGCCCACTCTTCGAGCTTGTCCAGGTCCCTCTGGATGAC